CAGGCATTTTTGACGACTGATGTTGCGAAACCATGTGTTTTTGTCTGTTTTCGGGGCTCTCGTTCTTGAGTCCGCTACGAAACCAAATTCTCAAAGCCGAGCAAGATTCGGACACAAAGATATGTCGACATGCGCGCGCGACGATGCGCGCGCGTGCATGCCTCTGTCGTGCATCCTGGCGCGGCCGACCCGATCCGACGCCGCCCCCGTGCCGACGCGGGCCATCTTCGACGCACGTTCCGCGCCGATCCGGTTTGGCGATTCGATGCGAACCGCTCCTGCTTAGCCCCTCCCTCCTGTGCTGCCCTACCTTCCGTGTCAAGGGGTGGGGGCACGTTTGTGCCATCACAACCTTCTCCTTCGCCCGTTCCCTCACTATGTCGTCGTCAGCGTCGTCGTCGTCGTCGTCGTTGTCGGCGGCGGCGGCGTCTTCCTCCTCTTCATCCTCCTTACGCTGATGCTGCAAGCGCTCGGGGTCTAGTGACGCTGCCCGCGTTTCCTTCTCCTCCCCTCCCTCCCCTTGCCTCCCTCCCCCTCCTCCTCCTCCTCTTCCTCCTTCTCCTCTTCCTCTTCCTTATCCGCCTCCTCCATTCCTTCTCCTTCTAGATAATTCCTCCCTGTCGCACCCCTGGGCCAGTTTTTCGGGCGGGCCGGGCGTTTCGCATGAGACGTCCTCACTATTTATGACTTTGAAGGTTAAACGTGACAACGGTTTCGCATGGAGGGCGGGTGGTTTTCAAAATGTGGTTTTCGCCTTAGCGCCGCGCGCATTCGCTTTACACGTTTGCAAGAGTTTCACGGATTGAGGGCGGGCTGTTTTCACAATGTGGCTCTCGATTTAGCGCCGCGCACAGCCGTTTAAAACATGAGAGAGCTTCACTGATTGAGGGCGGGTCGTTTTCGAGATGTGGTTTTCGATTTAGCGCCGCGTCATTCGTTTAACAACATCGCAATACTTTCACGGATTGAGGGCGGGTCGTTCTCAAGATGTGGCTCTCGCCTTAGCGCCGCGCACATTCTTCTCAAACATTTGCAAGGGTTTCACGGATTGAGTGCGGTTCCTTTTCAAAATGGAGTTTCACGGATCGAGGGCGGGTCGTTTTCAAGATGTGGCTCTCGCCTTATCGCCGCGCACATTCGTTTTAAACATTTGCAAGATTTTCACGGGTTCCCATGATCAGCGCACCAGGAATAGTGTTTTGGAACGATTCATGATTATGCTGGCGCAGCAATTATGTAAAGTCGCGGTGTTGAAGTGCAAAAAATGACGCTCTGGCACGATCCCGGATCGTCAAGACGCTGCAGTCAGGCTAACATGTGGCATTGAAATCCCGAGACCACTGTTTTGGCATGCTTCAGGATCTTCAAGCTTCCAGCGAGGCAGTTCCCTCATCATCGTCGTCGTCGTCGTCGCCGTCGTTGTCGTCGTCGCCGCCGTCGTCGTCATCACAACCAACAGCGGCAGCAACACCATCATCTTCATCACCATCCCCGCCACCATACTCACCAAACATCCTGACACTCACCACCACCATCATCAACAACAGCATCATTTCCTTACCACCGTCATTATCGTGATCGTCGTCATCTTCATTACCAGCATCACCATCAACGACATCACGATCATTACCATCACCACCATCATCATCATCAACTACATCACCGTTATTATCAACATCACCATCAGCATCTTCATCATCATCATCATCAGCATCATCATCATCATAGTCATCATCATCATCATAATCATTGTCGTCATCATCATCAGCAGCATCACCAACATCAGCATCAACCTCATCATCACCACCATCACCGATCTCATCACCATGACCATCACTACTACCACTACCGCTGTCACCACCATCTTTGTCTTCAATCTCACCAGCATCCTCCTCAGTACCATCATCATCAGCGGCATCACCACCATCACCACCATCACCATCACCATCACCAGTATCACCGCCAGCATCAGTATCACCATCATCACCATAACGGGTATCACTACCAGCACCAGTATCAGCGTCAGCATCAGCATCACCACCACAATCAGCATCAGCCTCATCAGCATTATCATCATCATCATCACCATCAACATCACCATCAACATCACCATCAACACCACCATCATCACCATCATCAGTATCATCACTGCCATTATGATCCACATCATCATGATCATCACCATCATCACAAGCATCATCAGCATCATCACCACCACCATCATCATCACCATCAGCAGCATCATCATCACCCTTCCTCCCTATTCACTCCACTCCTCCTCCTCCTCACTCATTCGTTCCACCCCCTTCTCACCCCTCCCCATCGCCAGGAGTTCGGGAAGATGGAAGGCGGCATGGGCGGCCTCGGTGGCCTTGGCGGCATGGACCCCGCCGCGCTGGAAAACATGCAGAAGATGATGGGCGGCGCCGCGAAGAAGGGCCGCAGGTGAGAGCCGGGTGCCGCGCGAGTTGCTGGGGAGGGGGAGGCGGAGGAGGAGGAGGAGGAGGATGAGGAGGAGGAGGAGGAGGAGGAGGAGGAGTGAGAAGGAGGAGGGAGGAGGAGGAGGAGGAGGAGGGAGGAGAGGAAGAGGAGGAGGAGGAGGAGGAGGAGGAGGAGGAGGATGAGGCGGAGGATCAGTGTAAACCCAAGACCCATCAACGATGCTGGAATACACCCTCCCTCCAAATTCCCTCATAGGCTCCTACAAGGGTTCATTTCCACTGAGGGAAGTGCCCCGTTGGGGGACAACCGTGCGAAAATCTCGAAGCGTGCCAAAACGCCATTCTCGGGACTTCGACGCCACGGGTAAACCAGACTGTTGCGCCTTGACGGTCCTAAATCGTGCCAGAACGCTGTTCTTGGGACTCCAACACCGCGCATCAACGCAACTGTTTCGCCCTGGGACGAAGGAAGAGGAGAACGAGGAGGAGGAGGAGGAGAATGAGGAGGAGGAGGAGGAGGAGGCGGGGGAGGAGTAGGAGGAGGGGGAGGAGGAGGAGGAGGAGGAGGAGAGGAGGAAGGTGGTGGAGGAGGAGGAGGAGGAGAAGGAGGAGGAGGAGGAGGCGAAGGATGAGAAGGAGGAGGAGGACGAGGAAGTGGACGAGGAGGACGAGGAGGAGGAGGATGAGGAAGAGGAGGAGGAGGAGGACGAAAACGAGGAGGAGGAGGAGGAGGAGGAGGAGGGGAAGGAGGAAGAGGAAGAGGAGGATGAGGAGAGGGATGAGGATGACGATGCTGATGATGATGATGTTGATGATGATGACGACGACGACGATGATGATGGCGATGCTGATGATGATGCTGATGATGCTGCTGATGATGATGAGGAGGAGGCGGAGGAGGAAGAGGATGCTGATGATGATGACGATGATGATGAGGAGGTCAAGGAGGAGGAGGAGGAGGAGGAGGAGGAGGACGAGGAACGGGGAGGAGGAAGGGAATGAGGAGGACGAGGAGGAGGAGGAGGAAGACGTTGAAGAGGATCCCCTCCCCATCCCCGCCCAACATACCCGTCTTATCATCCTCCTCCGCCTCCGCCTCGTCCACCTTCTCTTTGGGGAGGGGGTCTCCTCCTGCGCCTTCTCCTCTTGTCTCCCTCCTTCCTCTCCTCATTATCCTCTTGCTCCCCCTCCCTCTCCTTCTCCTTCTCCCTCTTCCCTCCTTACTGTTCTTCCCCTCCTCTTCTTCTCCATGTCCTCCTCCTCCTCCTTCCCCCCTCTCCTCATCCCTCCCCTGCCACTCTTCACTCCCCCTCACTCCTCCTCCTCCTCCTTCTCCTCCTCTTCCCCCTCCTCCTCCTCCTCCTCCTCCTCATCATCCCCATCGTCATCGTCATCCTCATCATCATCATAATCATCATCAGCATCATCACCATCATCAGCGTCATCATTACCATCATCACCATCATCATCAGCCTCTTCTCCGTCTTCTTCTTCGTCGATATAACCATCACCACCATAATCAGCATTATCGCCATCACCAGCATCACCATCATCACCATCATCAGCCTCATCATCATCTTCATCATCATCATCATCATCATCATCATCTTCTTCTTCGTCACCCTCCTCTCGTTTTTACCTCCTTCTCCTCCTCCGCCTCCGCCTCTTCCTCCTCCTCATCCTCCTCGTCCTTCTTCCTCCCCCTTCCCCCCCCGCTGCTGCAGCTGCGGCTCTATTTGGCGGAGTTCTGGTTCGTCCCTTGCGGCCTTGTGACTTCTCCCCCCTGCCCCTTCCCCTCATCTTCCCCCGCCTCTTCCTCCTTCTTCCTTGAACTGTTGAGCGCTTTCGGGCCATGTTGCTCACGAGAGTATGTTGGGGACGTGCGGACACGCATGGAGCCATGGAGATCTACCCCCTCGCCTCCTTCCTTTCCCGGGCCTGCGGCGGTGGGGGCCCCTGGTCGCCACATCTAGGCGCGGCTCGGTCGACGCATTTGGGGGGGTGCTTGAAAGGAGTAAGTCCACAGATCCGCTCGGATCGGGTTTCGTGTTGCGCCCAGGTTCAGGCTTTGAGCAGGAGGAGGATGAGGAGGAGGAGGAGGAGCAGGAGGAGGAGGAGGAGGAGGACCAGTGTAAACCCAAGACCCATCAACAACATTGCAATCAACCATCCCTCCGAGTTCTCTCTACGTAGGCCCCAGATCAGGATTCATTTTCGCTTAAGGAAGTGCCCTGCTGGGAGACAACTGTGCGAAAATGCCGAAGCGTGCCAAAACACCATTCTCGGGACGCCATTTCTGGGACGCCCACGCCGAGAACCGTGCCAGAACACCATTCGTGGGACTCCAACAGCACGAGTCAACGTTACTGTTGAGCCGCGACAGTCCGATGTCGTACCAAAACGCAATTTCTGGGACGTTCACCATGATAATGTTTGAAGCTGTTGTAAACTCTTAGAAGGGTTTCGCGTGGCGTTAAGGCGAGAGCCACATGTTGACAAGGTTCCACCTTCCATCCGTGAAGCTCTTGAGTTGTTTAAGCGTATTTGTGCGGCGCCGAGGCGAGTCTTGCAATGATGTCAGACGAAGCTGTGCGGAGCTAAGGCGAGAACCATATGACAAGAAACGGCCCGCCTTGCATCCGGGAAGCTCCTGCGTTTTTGCGACGGAAGTGCGTGGCGCTAAGGCGAGAGCCACATTTTGAAAACGACCCGGTGGTGTATATAATTTTGGTTACCAAGGGGAGCGATTCTTATTCAACACCACCAAGAAGTGCTGCTTCTGCTTCAGGAACTCCCCATGCCACGGCGCCTGCGAGCTGCGCCGCGCTCCTTTTCGCCATGGCGTCGCAGCGTCGTCTGGCATAACCCTGCCCCTGACCCTTTTTGCGGAAAATTTCTGTTGCGGGCAGTGGTGGTGTATACAAATTGGCCTCGCACATCCGTGACATTGTTGCAACTTTTTAATTTCCAGTGTCATAGCTGGTGGGGAAGTCTCCGTCGAAACGCCCAGCCCGCCCTTTCTCGACCAGCCTCCTGGTGCGACTTGCAGGAGTCCTTTGCCAGGAACAGGAAGATACCAGGATGAGGAGGAGCAAGAGAAGGAGGGAGAGGAGGAGGAGGAGGAGGAGGAGGAGGAGGAGGAGGAGGAGGAGGAAAACGAGGATATCATACCAGAATCGGGACTCCCCGGGGCCGCGCAGGAAGAGGAGGAAGAGGAGCAGGAGGAGGACAGAGAAGGAGGGAGGGAGGAGGGAGGACCAGGAATGGAGAGAAGCGTTAGTGCGGGCTGTACAGTGTTCGGAGGATCAAAGTTCACAGTGGCCATTGGGCAGTGATCGGGAGGTCCTCGTGCACGGCGTTCCCACGGGCCTTCCCCTGGTGGGGGGAAGGTAGCGCACGGTTCATGGTCAGCTCTCGACTGGAGCAGTCAAGTGCACAGCAGGTCGACGGTTCCCCCAGGAGCCCCCCCGGGATGCGGAGCGCCCCGCGGCGATCACGCGAGAACGTGGCGCCATGCCGCTCGAGAGGCGCGCACGGAGTACGAGGCGCAAGCAGCAGGGGAGCGCACGCAGAAGCAGAGGCGGCGGTCATCTTGCGCTCTGGGCCAGAAGGTCGGGGGACGTGCACGGACCACCTCACCGATCCTGGCCGGGCCCAGAAGCGGTGCCCACGCCTCCGGTGGCAAGCTCTCGCAGTGTGCGCCGGTCCTGGGCACAGGACGGCCATGCGAGTCCGAGCCAACGGCGTTCTGAGTCCGACGTGATGGGCCTGGCGACATCAAATCTGGGCGAGCCGGTTGTCGACGTGGGAGCGCGACTGCCCGCTCCGTCGACTTTGCCGTCCGAGGTCACTGGCCTAGAGGGCCGCAATGGCATCATAGAAGGTCACGAGTTGACCGGGCGAGGCGACCAAGCGAGTTGACCGAACCAGTGCTGCCATCAATCGGACCTGGCGTGTCGAGTTGACCAGGAGAGTTGGCCGAGAAAAGCCTGGGTGGTGGGGAGAAGAGGGATCGGAGGGATGAGGGCGAGTAGAAGGAGGAGTAGGATGGCGACGAATACGATGATGGTGGTTGCTGGTGATGATGATTATGATGATGATGATGATGATGATGCTGATGATAATGATGACGATGTATACATGTATATATATATATATATATATATGACGACGATGGTGACGATGATGTTTATGACTATGGCGATGGAGCTGGTGATGATTCTGATGCTGGTGGTGAAGACGAGGGTGTTTATTCCGATGATGATGATGATGATGATGATGATGATGATGATGATGATGATGATGATGATGATGATGGCGATGACTTTTGCGACGACGATTGCGATGGCGATGATGCTGTTGGTGATGATGGTGGTGGTGGTCATGGTGAATACGACGACAGAAATGATGTTTTTTAAAGGGTGACGAATGATCTTATGATGCTGCTGATGATGGCGATGATGACGAGGATGCCCCTGACGACACTGGCGGTACCAAGGTTGACGACGTTGTTGATGATGGTGATGATGACGACGATGACGATGATGATGATGATGTGGATGATGATAATGATGATTCTGACGATGCTGATGCTGGTAATGCTGATGATGATGCTGAACATGATGACGATGCTGATGATGGAGATGGTGATGCTGATGACGGTGATGATGATGTTGATGATGATGCTGATGAAGATGATGATGACGATGGCCGAGGATGGTGGTGAAGATCATGAGGATGGTGGTAGTGTCGGTGATGGTGTTGCTGTTGGTGGTGGTGGAGATGATGATGATGACGATGATGATGATGATGATAATGATGATGATGATGACGATGACGATGACGATTACGACGATGATGCCGATGGCGATGACGATGATACCGATGATGCGGGTGCTGATGCTGATGCTGGTGCTGCTGCTGCCTCTGCTGCTGATGATGATGACGACGTTGTTGTTGATGCTGATGATGATGATTTTGATACTGCTGCTGATGATGCTGATGACGATGATGATGATGATGATGATGATGGTGATGATGATTATCATGAGGATACTTA